TTTGAATATTTGGGTTAATTGTGACAAAATATTTTTTTTTAGTATTTATTATTTGATTAAATATTAAATGTCTCGTTTGAATAAACATCTAAACAAGTCATTAAACTGGTTAATACGTTTAATAAACAGATCCGATTAGTATTGAAGGTTTTTGACATAATTATTAAATAAGTCGAGTTTGGGTGTACTTGTTTAGTAGAATACCCCTATATAAACACGACACGATTATGACCCCCAACACGAATTGCCACCCCTAACACATACGGATCACATGGTATAAAAAAAACACACACACACACACTCTTATATATATGCTAAGAAAAGGCACGTGCGTTGCACGTGGTGAATATTTTTGTTCATATATTTTTTTAATTGTTTATAGTTTTCATTATATGATATTGTCATATATTAATAAATTCATATCAATAATGTTTAAAGAATAATAATGGTCACCACAAAAGAAACAAAATAAGGTTTTTCATTGATGGATGAATCATCTAAGTATGATATATTAGAAAATCCAATGTGTTAGAATTTTATAAAAAAAATAGATTTATTAGGTAACTTGTAATTTGAATTTTATTAGATAATTTGAAAATGGTGATTAATTTTATTACGTAATTTTTAGAATTTTTTAGAAACTATTTTCATAAACCCTATATATAAAAACTCTTTTTATATCAATTAATAAATATTTATTATTTATTTGATATTAAATAATAAATATTTTATAGTTTTATAGAAACTCTTTTTATATTAATTAATAATAATTTTTTTATATATATATATTTTGTGTTAGAGTTTTATAGAAACTCTTTAATAATAGTATAGATTTTTTTTATACTAATTAATAAATATTTTATAGTTTTATAGAAACTCTTTTTATAAAAACTATTTTTGTAGTTTGAATTTTATTAGGTAATTTAAAATGATGATATTTTTTTATATTTTGTGTTAGAATTTTATAGAAACCCTTTTAATAATAGTATAGATTTATTAGGTAATTTTTAATTTGAATTTTATTGGGTAATTTAAAAGTGGTGATTGATTTTATTAGCTAGTTTTTAAAGTTTTATAGAAACTTTTTTTATAAAAACTCTTTTTATATTAATTAATAGATATTTTATATTAATTAATAATTATTTTATAGTTTTATAGAAACTCATTTATAAAAACTATCTTTGTAATTTAAATTTTATTAGAGTTTTATAGAAATTAGATTTATTAGATAATTTGTAATTTGAATTTTATTAGGTAATTTGAAAATGGTGATTGATTTTATTTGGTAATTTCTAGAGTTTTATAGAAACTATTTTTATAAAAACTCTTGATATTAAAAAATAATTTATAAGTATTTCATAGAAACTATTTTTATAAAAATATTTTTATATTAATTAATAAATATTTTTTTTGTAATTTGTGTTACAGTTTTACAGAAACTCTTTTAATAATAGTATAGATTTTTTTATAATAATTAATAAATATTATATAGTTTTATACAAACTCTTTTTATAAAAACTCTTTTTGTAATTTGAATTTTATTAGGTAATTTGTAATTTAAATTTTATTTGGTAATTTGAAAGTGGTGATATTTTTTTATATTTTGTGTTAGAGTTTTATAGAAACTCTTTTAATAATAGTATAGATTTATTGGGTAATTTTTAATTTGTAATTTGAATTTTATTAGGTAATTTGAAAGTGGCGATTGATTTTATTAGGTAATTTTTAGAGTTTTCTAGAAACTCTTTTTATAAAAATTCTTTTTCTATTAATTAATAAATATTTTTTTTATTATAATTTTTAGAGTTTTGTAGAAACTATTTTTATAAAAACTATTTTTATATTAATTAATAAATATTTTTTTAGTAAATATTTTATATTAATTAATAAATATTTTATAGTTTTATAGAAGCTCTTCTCATTAAAACTATTTTTGTAATTTGAATTTTATTAGGCAATTTGTAATTTAAATTTTATTAGGTAATTTGAAAGTGGTTATTGATTTCAATAAGTAAATTTTAGAATTTTATAGAAATTCTTTTTATAAAACTATTTTTATATTAATTAATAAATATTTTTTTATATTTTGTGTTACAGTTTTATAATTTGTAATGTGAATTTGTTCGGTAATTTGAAAGTGGTGATTTATTTTATTTGGTAATGTTTAGATTTTTATAGAAATTATTTTTATATTAATTCATAAATAACTCTTTTTATATAAACTATTTTTATATTAATTAATAAATATTATAAAACTCTTAAAAAATATTTTTATATTAATTAATAAATATTTTTTATATTTTGTGTTACAGTTTTATAGAAACTCTTTTAATAATAATATAGATTTATTAGGTAATTTGTATATTAGGTAATTTGAAAGTGGTGATTTATATTTTTAGGTAATTTTTAGAGTTTTATAAAAACTATTTTTATATTAATTAATAAATATTATAAAACTATTTTTATATTATTAATTAATAAATATTTTTTTATATTTTGTTGTTGCATTTTTATATAAACTCTTTGAAAAATAGTATAGATTTATTAGGTAATTTCAAAGTGGTGTTTTATTTAATTAGGTAATTTTTTTAGAAGCCAATAGATAAATAGGTAACTCTTTTAACAATAGTATAGATTTATTAGGTAATTTGTAATTTGAATTTTATTAGGTAATTTGAAATTGGTGATTTATTTTATTAGGTAATTTTTTTTAGAAAGAAATAGATAAATAGGTAATTTGAATTTTATTAGGTAATTTTTAGAGTTTTATAACAATTAATAAATTTTTTTTTTTAAATAGTAAAAAACTCTTGCACATTTAATAATAGTATGAAACTCTTTTAATAATAATATAAATTTTTTATACTAATTAATAAATATTTTATAGTTTTATAGTAATTTAAATTTTATTAGGTAATTTGAAAATGGAAAAGACACCTGTAAGTGAATGGAGTGAATGTTGTAAGTGCATTGTAACTACACCTACCAAAGTATTCAACAGTATTGCTTGATAGAAATATTTTTTCTTTGTTTAAGAAAAAGGAATAGTGTGAGTCTGCTAATGATGTAAATTTTCTATAAGCAAAGTTCAATTTAATTGGAAAAATTGCAAATACACTCAAATCTACATATACGGCATATCTACAACAAAGTGGTAAATGGTAATAGCATGTGCAAAATATGCAAAATTCACAACCAGTCAAGTTCTAGGCAATACAACACCATGGAGTGGCGGCAGCTTGTATTGAGGTGGGCTCGTAGAAAGGGTTGGCCGGCCAAGCACTTCGTGATAACAAACAGGAAGAGTGAAGTTTACCAAACACTTGGGTATACAGCCTTTCTGTGGCTTTGTTGAAATAAAAAGCCCCCTTCCCTTTGATACTTCCTTTTGATAATCAAAGGTCTATGATCAATTAATAGGAGGCTTTGTACGGAAAGACAATTATCTCACTTCAGCCTCGTCACTCGTTCATAGTTCCGATCTCAAAAGTTTGGAAGAATGGCAATCCATATTTTGGATTGTCAACAATCCATCTCAAAATCCAATAATACAAATCACAACCATACAAAACTCAAACTTGCCTGATGAAACAACACATATCAAAATCCAATAATACAAATCACAACCATACACAACTCAATTGTATTAAAAATAGAGTTCTTCTGCATCACAGATGATTTGATATTCTAGTTCTAGAATTCTTAATTTCTGTGTCATTTCCTCCTTCCTCCATACCTCTATTTATAAGCTTGATGACATGTGCTCGGTAATTTGTGTTAGAATTTTATAGAAACTCTTTAACTATATCTTTGTCTAAATATATATTAATAATACTCGTATAATTAGATTTCCTTTTATTAAAAAAACTCATAATAAATAGATAAATTGGTAATTTGTGTAAAGTTTTATAGAAACTCTTTAAATATATCTTTGTCTAATGGGATAGAGTTTTATTGAAAATAAAATAGATAATTTTTGATATAGTTTTATATAAATTATTTTATTTTCTTCAGATATATCCTTCTCTAATTAGATTTTCTTTTATTATATCAATTAATAAATAATATAAATAATTTTTTATATTAATAATACTCGTATAATTGGATTTCCTTTTATTAAAAACTCATAATAAATAGATAAATAGGTAATTTGTATTAGAATTTTATAGAAACTCTTTAAATATATCTTTGTCTAATGTAATACAGTTTTATTGAAAATAAAATAAGTAATTTGTGGTAGACTTATTCTTGTCTAATTAGATTTTATTTTATTTTATAGAAACTCTTTTAATAATAGTATAGATTTATTAGGTATAAACTCTTTAAATGGGATAGAGTTTTATTGAAAATAAAATAGATAATTTGTGGTAAAGTTTTATATAAATTATTTTATTTTCTTCAAATATATCATTCTCTAATTAGATTTTCTTTTATTATATCAATTAATAAATAATATAAATAATTTTTTATATTAATAATACCTGTATAATTAGATTTCCTTTTATTAAAAACTCATAATAAATAGATAAATAGGTAATTTGTATTAGAGTTTTATAGAAACTCTTTAAATATATCTTTGTCTAATGTGATAGAGTTTTATTGAAAATAAAATAAGTAATTTGTTGTAGACTTATTCTTGTCTAATTAGATTTTATTTTATTTTATAAAAACTCTTCTAATAATAGTATAGATTTATTAGGTAATTTGTAATTTGAATTTTATTAGGTAATTTGAATTTTATTAAGTAATTTTTAGAGTTTTATATTAATTAATAAAGATTTTTTTATATTAATAAATAATTACTGAAATACTGAAATGATATTGATATAGATATATATATATATATATATATATATATATATATATATCATCTATCCAAAAAAAAAAAACAGTAGATCGCAAGGATATGCAAACACCATAAACAGTTGATCAGTCAATTATGAAATCCCAATACATTTATTTTCATTCACTAATTGCAAGTCCAATTAACTATATATACTCTAATAATGTAGCACAGTCACGTTACACTTAGCAACCGCGTACCAATTTGCTTTGTTCTGGTAAACCGTCTGGAAGGTAGCGTAACCCCTCGCATACCGGAATATTCCGGTGCCGCCCACCACCGCCACCTCATTGACACTCTGATAATTGTGACTAGCACCTTGTATCTCTATTGTGCTACCATTGTAGGTTGCATTGGTGAATACAATTGATGCCGAGACATGTGTACTGGACCCGTCCAATGCCGAGGTCACAAATATGCCTTGGGCCCGTCCAATCTGAGCCGAGGTTTTATCGAAGCCCACTGTTATTGGGTCGTCTGCGCAAAACATGGTACCGAAGGTGGTGAGTGTCCAGGGAAATCCCGGGATGCCGGTGACCGGTATGGCAGTGGCGTTCGTGACGTTTGTGGCGGTTGTGACGGCGGTAAAGTTTAGGTCGACGGACCACTCATGGAGGTAGAATGTCATGTTGGTTTCTTTAAGCTGGCCAACTTCAGCTGATGAAAATATGAACATTGTCATAAGCAATAACAAGCACACTTTGGAGGCTCTCGTCAGTGCCATTTGGAAATAGTGGACTCGAGTGAATCAAACTGGCAAAGGTGGGGGCTTGTATTTATAAAGTGGAGAGAGAGATATGAGTGGGCAAACATAATTGTATGTCATAAAAGATACTTTTTCTTTTCTGTTTTTAAAATATATATTTATTTTTATTTTTATTTTTATTGTGTATAGCTGTTTTTAAAAGGCAGTTAAGAGTGCTTTAAAAGTTTCAAATTGAAACAACATGGTTTTGGTAAATCATATCGCCATGCAAGTTAAAAAATTAAAAAAATTCGACACATTTACTTGTATAACATGTTATTAGTCGGGATCATATAGTCTCGGATTATGGAATTAATTTGAATGATACGGCTCAATAAATATCACTCATATAGAGTATTGTTTAATCAGTCGATTCATGTTTATATCAGGACTTATTGGGAGTCTCGGTATCAATAACTTGATAAATAATTGCACAAGAACGGATCCAGAAACTCGTGTGAGGGGGGCAATACTGAATTTTTTGAATAATTTCGTAAGTGACAAAGACAATATTTCATAAATATATTTATATCAAAATGACAAATATAGGGGGCTTAGTAGTAAAAAACCCCTGGGTACAACATGGGTCAGTCCTTGGTTGCGCACCGGCTAATTCACCGAACCATTCTTTTATATTTATTGGCCAAGACTTGCATACTCTTTACAAAGATACAACCTTAACAATATACCTATTCATGGTGAGAGCCTTTAAAGTTGTTGGACTGAGAGACTTATTTTGGTTTGGATTAAACAGTATTATTAATGTGCAATTTGATTTCTAAGCTAGAGATGGCATAAATTTTGAGTGAGCATTGCTCAATTATTTATTTATTTTTTTTTACAAAAAAATGTACAAGGGAAAGCAAATTTGCGATGCATAATCTTTTGTTATATATATACACGCTACATTAGGCACAGAATTATAACAGATTGTATGCATGAGAGTTAACTGTGTCAAAGCAATATATGGCTATATGCATATTGTGGTATATGTAATATTTTGCTAGCATAATGTATATAAAATACCTTAATTTGAGGAATATGTGTGGCCTATGAGTTCCTAATTAATAAATAGATATTTAGTGTATCCGGTGTATCATGTACATAACTAATTAAAGTCGTACGTGCACAACACGCGCCAACACGTGCATATCACCTACGACTCTAATTAATCCAATGCACAGCGAGCAAACTGAATATCTATTCCTAATTAACACCATTTAGAATATCAAATATGCGAATATTCATTATCCTTCTACATAAAGATGCCAAACTTTTTGTACATTTAGCACCACAAGAACGAAAATCATTCCACCCAAATAGAGCCAAAAAGAGAATGTTTTTTGGAATTAATTATTTTGCAAAATTAATTTTTTCTGGTTTGAATTACTTTGCAAAATTAAGCAAAACAAGTACAATAGGGAATTTACTGTTGATTAAAAGAATTTGAACCCCAATATGCAAAGGTATGGTCTTGTACCAACCTTGTATGGTCTGCCATTATTTTTTTAGGCTTTTAGCGAATTTGAACCACAAAATGCAAATGTTTGGTCTTGTACCAACCTTGTATGGTCTGCCAGCTTCTTGCTGTAGCATTTGTTGTTTGAGATATTAATTATTTCGATTAGTTTTGATACTATTTATTTGGGAATTAAATTCCCCATTCATTGAAGCACATCACAGTGAAAACATATATATCGTTATTGTGAATCATAATTACATATGAGGATACAATTATACATCAATACACATAACACAATATTTTGTGGTGATTCACTTAACCCTCCACGATTACGTCAACAGACAAAGAATTATCACTGTTATGAATAAATAAGGGATATTACAAGTAGATAATGCACTCAACTCATCCTGACATCCAACCAACGACTTTTCTTTGTTTAAGAGCAAATTTGTTTCTTGTGAGACTACATCCCTCTACACTCACTCGCTTCCAATTAGAGGCTCTTTGGTGAAACAGAGAGCCTCTAACTGGTTCTCTTCTCCTCTAGAGGTTCTTCTCTAAATAGAGGCTCTCTGTTTCATCAGAGTATCCGAGTTCGGAGTTTCTCCACGCTGGTTTGTGGGTCTTTGGATGGTTTCCATCTACTCTTCAGTTCTTGCTTATGGTGTATAAGCCTAGCTCTGTCAGTGTGTGTGGCGGGCTAGTAATGTTTGCGATGATGGGGTTCTTCCATGGCTTTTGGAGCGTCGGAAATCTTTCTGATGAGGGTTCCACGATCTATACTTTTGATCCAGGTATTGGAGAAGGCCCACACATTCCTGTACTGCAGTGGGGTACATGTTTTAGTAACCTGGCCCATGCAACCATTTATGTGCAACGTCCAGGCCAGTTGGACTATCCGCACACCCCACTTCAAGCAACACTGTTGTCCTTATTGCACTCTGTTGATACATCTTTCTTCCATATTTGGATGATATGGACCATTAAGCTTGGTGCTGAAGTATCCAAGCGATTTGACTCGCATCAAGTTTGGAAACCATCTTGGAAGAGAATGGAGCATTGTACTGTGGTTGTGCAAGTTTTAGTTCGACGAGGAGGGGAGGTTATCAGTGCTTCTAAGGGAACAATTAGGTGTGTGTTTGATAATGTTTACGCCCTCTTCCTATATGCTAATAAGGCAAAGATACTTGGCCATTCATTATCTTTCCCATTTATTATGTTTGCTAAAAAAAAAAAAATTAGCTTCCAATTTATTATGTTTTGTAAGCATTTTTTTTTCCTTCCCTTTTGTGTGTTTCTCTATATACTCAGCCATTCTCCATAGAGTACGAAACAGCCATTCATTATTAGTTTATTTATTTATTATTTATTTATTTTTTAGAGTAATTGAAACAATATTTCTAATAACAAAAGACTGAGGTGTGTTTGGATGTGATGATTTGGAGGGCAATGGAGAGAAAAGAAAAGAAATGATAGATTACGAGTATGTTTAGGTAGGTTAAATGAAGAGAAAGAAATGATAGGGAGAGATAGGAAGGGATAACTATCTCTCCCCCTATCCCTCATTTGCTTTCTCTCCAATTTTGAGAAGATATGGAGAGAAAGTATAGTAATTTTAGTGATATTTTAATAATACCAAAACTAACCTCCACAAATCAATACACATATTTGTTATTCCATTCAAGTCCCTATTATATGCATCTTTGGAATTTTATATCCTAATTCTCTATTGTTGCATACTGTAAAAGAAAATAAAGGTTATCCCAATTTACCATCTATATATATTTGAGTCCCTGTTATATATGTTGGGATTTATATGCCCTGGCATAGCAAATTCCTATTTGGATTATAGTGACATATGTTCCTGACGTTTCTGAAATATTTATACTTGATACAATTGGTGAATTTAATGTATTATATTTCGATTCATTATAGAATTGATAGTGTCCACTTGATTACAAGAGATATTTATATATGTATGTGATGGCGATCAATACATGAATATAAATAATAATCATAAATTGTTCATAGTCGGTAATTATGGATGAACTCATAATTAATTAAGACTTGAACTGGATCCGCGTTAGGTTGAGATATATTACGAGAGCCGTCGTATGCAATTGCTCCCTATCACTGTCATGGCATTTGACTCTTAAGTATGAGAAAAGTATAAACTCTTTTATTAATTAATAATTACTTTGATTTGTTCGGCGGATATTTCGAGATCCTTAGACTGACACTTTGGGTAGTTATGTAATTAATAGTTATAGGGTTATATTTTCAATATTTGCATCATTGCTACTTGTATTTATTTTGTATTGATTATGCGTGATCACAAAGTAAATTCGAAGGTCTTCGTATGTTTTTAGACAAAATGATTTATTATATATTTATTTATTTAAATTATTAATTTTGTCAAACAAATGTTTTATTGTGATCGAGCCAGAAATAATTAATGGTACCAAAATAAATATATTAATTAAGTAGTCGGATTGATGGCTTTATTATCTGATAACTAATTATGCATAGAGGGGTCAAAGTGCAACATTGACTTAGAGGTTATTTATTATTTAATTGGAGTTCAATTAATTTCTTTTAGTAGAGTATAAATTAATTTATGAATTAATTGAATTGGGTCCATAGACCGGGCCAATTATTAATTTATTGTACCCAATAAAATAATAAGCCCAAAGGATTCTCACTCATAGCCCAACTTGATATTGGAATCTTATTAGATTTGAGACATGTGAATTAGAGATTGAGAATGATTTTATCGTTTCCTTTTCTTTATCTTTATGTTGCATATACATATATATACATAGTCTATGTATATTGGGGGTGATTTTTTGGAAGAAGGGAAAAGGAATATATTTTCTCTCTTTAGAAAATTAGGGTTAGTGTTTTCATCTAATGGAGGCTCCCACAAGCCTAGTTTTCCAAGGTCATTCATGGAGGCTTATGAGTGATTCCTAAAGGCAAAATAATTACCAAGAAGATGGAGATCTAAGGAGAAGACATCTTGCTAAGGGATCTACAATAAATGAGAATATTCACTTTAGAGGAAAGATTTAAAGGTTTACTCAGACCTTTGATATAAGTATTCAATCCATTAACTGAATGATACATCATATTTTATTTTTGTATAAAACTTGTCTCTATGTGATGAATCAAGATCTGTGAATGGAAATTTCTCGAAAAGTTTTTAAAATTAACACGTTTCCCATCAATGGTATCAAAGCATGGTTTGATTCATTACTAGAGATCATGTTTTTATCAAAATTCATCATTCATGGATCCAATTTTGATATGTATATATTTATTTATTGATGTATGTTGATGTATGAATTAATATATTGATATATATTGATACATGATGATGTATGTATAATTGTGAATGGATGATGATATGTGTTTGAGCCATGGATGAAGCTTATAGGTTAAATAAATGTAATTTTATCTTTGGATGAATGTAATTAAGGCTTTAATTTAATCGTTTGAAAGTTCAATGATGTAATTT